GGTGTATTCCACAACTGTTGACACCTGGACAAGAATTGTGCAGGTTGGAAGTACCAGATTATGAAAATATTGTACACCAAAAGCTTCTTAATATAATATCTTTCGAATTTTCTTGACAGTCTTGGCATAGGAAAACGGAACTTTTTATTCGAAAACAGAAATTAACTTTTTTTAAAAATGTAGAACAGTTCTTTTTCTGACCCCTATATGACATTGAACATTTACTGTCAGTCACATTGGCGCATAGTTCAGTCTCCTGACCGTGTTTCTTTAATATTTTAGACGTTACCTTATTGCAGTTCCTTATTTGACTTGTACCTACGTCTCTTATTTTACAAATTCTGCTTACGCTGTTTCCATTCGCGCTATTTCTGTAGCATATGCAATGTTTACTTGCAATTTTCGAGTATATCTACGTTCTTATTTATACAGAAGGTCTTATGATACCGTTGTGCCGCGTCTATGGGATACAATTATACTTTTATAAATAAAATAAACTTAGCGTGAGTACGGAGAAGAATAATATTTATGTAGACAACACATTATCAGGGGCGTGCTTCACGAAATTTTGTAAGGGGTTGGGGTTACAGTATAGAAGACGAAATAACAACTTTGGAATAACATACTGATGTCTCTGTTTCGGTCTGCTGGCCGTAGGTATTGAAAAAGGAATTATGCCTAAAGCCTAGCTTCACTCATATAGTCCCACCATACAAAAAAGCTGATAGATCGCAGGAACTCTCACATCCAGTATTATGTGTGGATGGATGGATCCATGTAGCTTTTTGGAACCACCACTGGTCTTCATATAGTTGTATACCCAATGTTATTTTGTCATTATATAGCGGATGTTGTATGCTAACGTATATCATTCATCTCAGAAAACATCTAAAAATCGCATGTGAGGTAAAATAATGCGATAGATTTCGTAAAAACACAAACTATGTTTATCTTTTATCAACCTGGGACGTTGATTGATTTTTTGATTGGCAAAGTGTACCTGCCTCAGTTGAAAACAGCATCCTGGTATACGAAAGAGTTGCGCTTGAGAGTATTTGGGGCACTTGAGTCTCTTTCGAGATTTAAGACAATTCCTCCTTAATTACAGCGATATCGTACTTTTAGAGGATCTGCATGACGGGCCAGTCTCTCTGCGCGTGAGTTGGCCAGAAAGCTTGTGACGTAGTTTAATGCTCCTGAGGAAGTCCCAAAAGTATCGACAGTTGAGAAGGAGCTAGGTTTCTTGTTCAGAGTCCAACCTTTCCTCCTCCCTCCTTTTATGATGAAGTCGGATATCGAAAATGTGAAACAATCTGCTACAAGGAGCTTTAATAAGAAGATAGTTCAGAATTATTTTTGGCGTAGAGCAGATGCAACATACGTGATACCCTCTGCTCATACCTGAGATTTAGGAATATAGCTGAATTAGTATGAACAACACAGAGTGGGCACGTCATTAACATCTGTTGAATAAGGGAACAAACATAATAACGTCCAACATTGCAAAATACTGCGCACATATGAATTATTGTTATCCAGCAGCAGACGACTTGTCAACAGTCTTTCGCGGTATGTGACAGTGATGAATCGCCCCAGCGGCCATTGAATTCCGAGCTTAACAGGTGTTAATAAAATATTTTTAATCAAAAGTGATAGCGTATTAGGGAATGTCCGCTTTCCACTGTGAAATATCATTTCGTAATGCGCCTACAGCACCCAGTAATAGCGTTTTAGTCTGGACTTTATGGCTCCATTTTACTATTGACCTGCGGGAATAAAAATTTGCAACCTAAACGCAAATTCGACCAACCAAAAATAAGGACGTGTGCCCTGCTCAAAACATACAAAGGAAGGTAGGGTTAGAGGACAGCCAGCGGTATCATTGGCTTTCTGTTGCGATAAGCCAGGAAAATTAGCTCCAAACATGCGTTGAGCATAAAAATAGAAAGGAACAGGGTATTTTGTACTGCAGTCAAGCAAATCGAATATTTACTCGATGTTGGTTGAAGATAGGCATTTTGTAATTTTGTTTATGTCCTCGAAGGATTTATTAATCAGATTTGACCTAGATTGACTGACCACATACAACGTTGTGTGGGTAAGCATACGGAATATGCCAAGCAAATTTTGCATGCAAGTTCACAAAATCTTTCTAAAAGGTTTACAAGTCTGGTTAATGTCACTCAACATGACCGCCCTTAAGCCTATTTACGTTATATGTATAACACAAAGCAGAACTATAGGCCTGTAGATCCTTTTTTGGATGGGCTGGACACGAGCAAATTTCCAACTTTCTGAGAAAGTGCTCGACTCGTAAGATATCTGGAAGAGACGCGTAAGACCTGGAACAAGCTACTAAATCATAGATGAAACTGCCAACCGCCTGTTGCCACAAATTTTGTTGATTTTCCATTTTTGTGGGTCCAGTCTAATATATTGGTGCTATGTCACTTCCTTTGAGGAACGTATATATACACCTTGTTTAAAGAGGGATTCAGAACACATAAGATTCCAATTTCCCAGCAGGATGAGTAAGCACTAATTGAGCAACTTACCTACCCTGTATTCAAGAGTATAGCGATGGAAATAAAGAATTCATGTCACAGGAAATTATCTCTATGTATCCAGATAAAACATACCCACTAAATGCAACGAAAACAGGAAATTTCGTAATTACTCCATGAGTTAAACACCATTGTAACCTAGCTTAGTCGGGTGTGCACATATGACCCCATTTTAATATGTAAAAAATTGAAACGAGCAGATTGATTTTATTTGTACTAAACTGAATATTGAATTTCAAAAAATGAGAAATAGCAAATATTCATATTATCCACAAGAATTATTATCGTCTACAAAATGATTTCAACAAAGGCACAAAATAAAGTTTAAAAATTTCATTTCCTTGTTATAGAAACGTACGATGTAGTGCTACACGCGGTATGCACTTACAGAACGGGGTCGATCGACGTATTGTGGTGGTGGTTATCCCACCAATTGATTTGCTGGCTGAAGATTGGATGCAAGTGGCCACGGTGCGTGGACTAAAATGCCGATTCCCGATACTAAATCTTGGATTGACAAGGGAGTAATGCGGATAGATTACTACACTTCACAGTTCCACAGAGGGCATGGGTGTTTTGAAAGCTACCTGGAAAAATTATGATAGAAAGAGTATACGAGCTGCGGGTATTGCAACAAAAAGGAGGAACTCCGAATCAACTACTCGAATGTGGCAGAACGCTTTTGTGTCCGAGCTTTCCCCTCTTCAAAAAAAGACACTATAAGTATGTCGTGCACTATATCTCAGTGTCCACGACATTTGCTGTTCAGTGCACTGGTTTTGCAATGCTTGTGATAATATGCTATACAATGCTCTTCTTAAGCTGTCGTTATCCACGTATATCTCCTTATATAGCGATTTTTAGCATGCTCGGAACTTTCATTAAATATATAAAGTTCACTAACTCTCGGCTTCCTCACGAGAACGTATTTGACTCCCCTAAACCCGTTAGAGAGCTGTTCGATTCAGCTCTGCTTTCAATCGTTTTCGCTGGAATTATTTATAATACCAGATCTGTAAAGCGTATTTAGGTATTTCAGGAGTAAGCCAGCCTGCTTAATATTACCTTGGTGACATATTTCAACGGATTTGTGTAGAGTACTTCGTTTCGCGCACCAATAATTTCTTAAGTCATAGGGCGCCTTTTTAGACCAATTTCAAGGACGTATACAGGATATTTTATGATGTATCCCCACTAATAGTATGGATGTTTGCTACTCAATGCGCCAAAATGGCAGAACGCGTCTGAATCGAATTGGGTACAGAGTTTGTACATCGAAAACTTGATGATACGACCGTTTCTTTCTCTCTCAGAGCCATAAGTCTCAACCTGCGGTCTTGCCACTCCGTGGTCCCTCTGGGACGTCCAGAACTCCTCGCTTGCTATTCTTGGCCTGCCTGAGTCCACGCTCGTTTACAATGCAGTATACTGCGTAAGAATCTGTTGTGTTTTATAATCTGGGGCAGAAACACACGAATAACCTAAAATAAATTGGTGAAAACGTCAAAATATAGTATCAACAATATGGCAACGGTGATGAACCACACAAGTACACCATGCCATAAGCGCCACCCACAATATTATAACTTCAGATCGTGAGTTCAGTCATACTCTTAATACGTCCTTTGGGTCGCTAAAACATTCCGGGGTCCATTCAGTCCGAAAATGCCCAGTTTTTGAGATACTGGCGAGAACTCTGCTTATCAAAAAACGACATAAGAAAGAAAATATCCGAAAATTGTTGCACGTTTATGCTCTGGATAGAGGTTTGTTTTCTAGGTGAGTCGTGTGTGTAGAGTCTGAATTCGATGTCAACTTAGTGCAAAGATCCACGGTTGGCGCCGGGAAATTAGTTTTTTATCAATGTTTCGCCCCTAAGTCGGCACCATGGCCCTTTAGAATTTTTTCCGATGTTAAAATTCAGCGCCCCAAATTACCTAAATACACAACATCGTTCGCATATCGCCACAGGTGAAACACATTTTTAGCACCATAAAATCGCAAATAGTTTTGCAATTTTTCACTAAATAATAGAATGTACAATGGGATCAGATACATGTGAAATGAGTTCGGATTCGGTTTTAGCGACCCAAGATATACGTAATTTGAACCGCATAAAGCATATTAATTTTTGCTAAACCTTTTCCCTGTCGCCTAAAAAACTATAAAGCTTTCTGATCCTTGGCATAGTAATAGCATTGCGTAAAAGTTTCCTCAAAATCCGAGCGGTACTTCTCAGGTTATAAGCGCTAATACGATTCGACGTCACATAACATCCAAAAAATATGTTATCTCATTTTCGACATTTTCGCGATTACAATACTTCGCCAGTAGGAGTTGGAAGTAAAATTAAATAGTTTGCCCCCCAATACAATCCTGTATATATTCTGCTTGCCTATATATCAGTAGCTCCGAAAGCGAAAATGCCAATTCGACAATATGGACAGCGACGATGATAGTGGTGCCGACTACTTCAGTGCACGTTCGATTTCAATTGAGTCATCAGTAGAAGATAACTTCGAAACGGCAGAATCATCGACAGTCACTTGTCAGGAAGAGGCGAATGAATATGTTGACTCAGTTTTTCGTGCTTCTGTCGTTCGTTCTTTACATCTTACTCCTGATCCAACTGGCGATAATTCAAATATTGCTTGTGCATATATTCATGAACGCCCTAGAGAATTTGGTGATACGAGCGGTACGGGCGATGATGGATTTGTAAAAGTTGTGGATGAAAGCTTGCAGCCAACATCGGTAAGGCATTCTACAATATTCTAAGCCACTAGAACCACTAATTTTTATTAGATTCCTTACAAACTAATGCACAGTATTAACGGCAAGCCATTGATGCCCTTGAAGTAACCTTGAAGTGTAAGTAAGAATTCATGCACATCGCATACTCATAGCCAATCATGTGGTAGCTATGTTATACGTCGTTTCTACTCCTTCTTAAGAGAAAAATAAATAATAATAATATTTATTGTCACAAAATACACGTAAATATTAAATATTGTGCACAATAAACATAAACTACCCGAAAAAGTTTGCACTTGTGTTTGGGTTTGTTAAAAATGAAAACTGAAAGTACAGTGTATGAAAAAAAAACCGTTAATACTGTATAATTTGGTGAATTGAATTATTATGGTGATGTCAGGAATAATATCCACACAATTATAACTAAAGTAAAAGTATGGGTGTTAGTGTAAGTAAAATATTATTGATTTTGATAATGATTTTTCGTATCTACAATTTCGTGGATGGAGCACCTTGGTTGTTGTAAAATCCATTTTTTTTTAGTTCTTTTTTAAATGATCTATTTGATTTAATTACTTTTAATGATTATGGTATGAAGTTATAGAGTTTTGGTCCCAAGAAAAACAGAGACGTTGTGTAATGGTTTTTGATGTTTGTGCAGTACACATTGAATTTTGATTGAATCTTGTTCGGTAGTTCGTTGTTGCCAAACACGAGCACATAATATTATTATTGAGACAGGGCGGTACTCAAACTTCTAAAGGGCTATAACTTTGTTACTTTAATTTTACCAGAAAAATGTTAAAGGAAAAAAACATTTCTTTTGATCAGATCTACTCACTGTTAAAATAAATGACTCAACATCGAAGTCACCCTGTATATATATATAATTTCTTTCCTTCCTACTCCAACTGGCGAAATAATATTTAATCATACATAATTCCTATCGTCCCGACTATGTCTGTCGCCTGTCCGACAGAATTTGGCTTCTCTATAACCAGGAAGATGCTAGTTGGATTTTGATGAAGTTTTAAAAACCGGTCCAGTGGAGGCAAAGTTATACGCAAAACAAATGTCGTCAAGTTGGCTGACTATGCACTTCCCACGCAACGCTGTCTGTCATCAGTTCATAATGGATTATCATTATAATGAATAAAGTCAACTACGAGCATGTAGAAAAAAAAGAACTAAATGGAGCAAGTGAGCCAAACAGGCCCATGCAATCAGTCCCCATTCCCACCCATTCGATAACGCTGCGATCTAGAAGTCCTTTCCTGCGCTTAATGAAAGTATCGACCATCTGACAAAGTCAGCCATGCTATGCTGGTCAACTTGAGCAGAGTGGCGAAGAAAGATCAGCCGGCAGACGCAGACAGGATTTTGTGAATCCCGAGGTAAGCATACGACAAGTGTGACAGATGCAACACGTTCGGTCAAGTTCTAAGCGCAAATATACCCGGAAACCCAAGATATATGCACTAATAGGTGCATAGATATACACGTAAGACATACACTCCCCAACCCCCAATTTTTACCCCTACAAGAATGTGTTCGAAAATGATCAGCGATTTTTATTTTTTTTCCTTTTTTGCCTGTGGCTTTGCCACCACTGGACCGATTTTAAAAATCTACAAAGCTTTTTCGTTCTTGGAATAGTAGTATAACCTTGTGTGACAATCTCATCCAAATCCGTACTGAGTCTATCTACATGAGTTCATTTTTTCTTTCAGATGGGGAGTGCAGAGGCTTCAAACCAGGAAAATACCAGGTGCTCCAATTCATACCTATGTAATCCATTCAGATGGTTGGGAAGGCATTGGCTGGAAATCTATGACTACGGAAATCTTCTCTTCAACATCATAACTTGTCTTTTAGGATTCTACGTACTTTTGAAAATGATTGATATAGCAGCCAGATATGCCAAAAAGCGTCTACTGATGTTCTATGGTACGTGGCCGCCGCCCTGATAGTTTTTGCATATACAGGTTGTTTCAGAACTAAGGAATCAAACTTCTAGGGGTTATTCAGTGTAACAGTAGAAAACATTTGAGTATAGGGACCCATATCCGGAAAAGTGTCACTACGGCACTACGGCCCTAAGACGCGTTAAAATTTAGACGATGAATTGCCTAAATAGGATTTAATGCATTTAATTTTTGCCTTTTGTACATGATATCATCAAAACAAGTGTTCAAAATGTCTTCCTCCAACCTGAACACACATGATTTCGGTGGCCTTGACTAAAAATTTAATAGTCGTTTTGAATGATTTCAAATGCTGCTGTAATTCGCCTTGCTCTGACCTTACATGTCCCCACAGGAGCGGTGCATTCAGGTTGGAGGAAGACATTTTGAACAATTGTTGTGATGATATCATGTACAAAAGGCGAAAATTAAATGCATTAACCAAATTTTAACGCGCCTTAGGGTCGTAGTGACACTTGTCCGGATATGGGTCCCTATACTCAAATGTTTTCTACTGTTACACTGAGTAAACCCTACAAGTTTGATCCCACAGTTGTGAAACACCCTGTAATAAGCCACATCATGTCTATCTTGTATTGTTCAACACATAACCTATTGTAAATCAAAAATAAAAATATATATTATTACTGTTTTATCTCATTTCCCACGCCAATAGGTCTAACAAGTATATTATAGATACTTTGAATTAGCACCTTTCAAATGTCAAATAGTATGTCACCATGAGCATTAAACAGCCAGTCATCATATTCAATTCAATTCAAAATATTTATATATAATATGAGGTATCATAGGCAACACCGGCTTTCTAATGCTTGTCTGATGGAGAAACTCCACCTGTAAATAAATATTTGTAGGTTTGTCGTTCGGGGTTGGGGGTTGTGAGTCGTGGGGGAGATTTCCCCGTACATTTGCTTTTAGACCTAGAATGATAGAGAAATGTTTCCGATACGCGAGCTCCTGTTATATAAGCTCACCGCCCGGCGTACCGATTCGGCAGACTAATCTATCAATGCTGTAGCGCACAAATAACATACAGTGAATAAAAGATAACCTGCTGCGGTGATATGGAGAGGGACAACGTTGCCAGATGAACAGTAACTACCGGTAGGGCTGGGAAAGAATCTCTATGGAGTAATTGCATGGGCCTATTTGACTGACTTGATCCGTTTAATTTCTCTGTAGTACATGTTCGTCACAGCCTTTTTTCTCATCGGAAGCAAGTACAGGGTCAACCTACTTGAAGCAATTTTTTTAGCTGTCATAAAGCTCCTAGCGTCATCAGCGACTTACTGAGTCTACTCAAAAATTGATGTAGCTTAGGAATATTTTTTGAAGGCTTGAAGGCATGATTGTATTTTTAAAAGGCAAACACTAATCCGCGTGTTGAATTATAAATCGGTTTATATTTATTTATAAAAGCACTTGAATACCCAATGCTTTTAGCGTGTAATCATAAACGGCATATTTGAGCAGATTCACACCGGATGCTGTTTGTTCTCTACAATCCTGGTGTATACTAGGAAGCTCTCTAATTCCAGAATAATTAGAAAGGCACTTAGTCAGGCTGGAAATACCCTTTGCATTCAGGATCAATATGTTACTATAATGAAGTTAACCTTTCAAGGTTACTTGCTAAGAAGCAGCGGAGCTTTCAAAATAGGTAAGCCATATTCTACGCTAAGTTACTTAAATAAAATAGCGTCAAGTAGATTGACTCTATACTTCCCAGGTCTTCGAAAAAGATGTAGGCTTTGACAGAAACATTAGTGTACTATTTGGGCTTTACATGAAAAACATTTCCTTAGATCGAACCAATAAGAATAGCTTTGAAATTTTTCGTTAAATAATCAAATATATGATGAGTGGAATCAGATACATTCAGAGTGGCATCGGATTCGGTTCTAGCGTTTTAAAATAAATACGATAGAGGTCACTTAGAATATTTTTATTGTCAGTAGCCATGCTTAAAGACATTACAAAACAGTCAGAAATGGGTCGGTTAGAAACGTGAGCCCAACTATGCTTATAATAGGTTTATTGGGTCTCTGACACAGAATCCGGAAATGCTCCATTTTCGAAATATAGACAGGACATATGAGTGTTAAGAATGGATTTTGTGACACGACCTGACTAGAGGGGGAAAAGGTATTTATAAGTTTGTACAAATTTTAAACTAGGCACAAGAAATTTGGCAGGGAGGTATTTTATTAGACATGGATTTTGTGACATATACTTCTTTCAACCATTTTAAGCATACCAAGTCACGGATAACAGCTAGTATTTTATAACCCACATCATCCGTACTATAAGAGTAAATTGAGATCAAGTAGCAGCAGGCGCCTTAGAGCTGTGACTTTGACATGTTCACAAGGAATACTAAATCAAGCGATGTATGTTGCGAACTCAGATGTCGATAACTCGTACACAGGTAGAGATGTACAGCACTGTGGAGTTATGCAGAAAGTTCGCTTTTGAAATAGCTTTGATTTATAATTCATGTCAAACCGTAGCTATCAACAAATCTGATCCATACTAATCATTAAAATATTCACCTTTAACTTAGGTACAAATTTTGGAACTCGTAGACGTGTTTTAACTGCCCAAACATACTAAAAAATTAATTAGTTTTTCTATACAATATACAGTATTTTGAACATCATGGTTCAAATAACAACCTACAGCGCTCTAGTGCAAATTTCCATACTTCCTTACCAGAAAAGCTTTGCAGATGGGTGGCTGACTATCTCTATGACCACAAGATATCCATCGTACCTGACGGGTTCTCCTCTTCATCCCACGATGGCGAAGCGCGTGTTCCTCAGGGATCAGTTTTATCTTCAACATTGTTTATATTGCATATCAACGACCCTCTTTCCTGTACGATCAATCAGATCCCAAGCTTTGCTGACGATAGCACTCTACATGCAGGCATTCAGAGTGCCAAACTGCTAGCATCAACTTCCTATCTGTCGAGAGGTCTGTTTGGCAGCGCAACAATTAAATGCTTCCAAAACACATAATTGTACCTTGACCAGCAAGATGTTGTTCAGAGGAGGGCTGTCCGATTGATCGATGATTCTTCTCTAACGGACAGCTTTGGGAACACTTTCGCACCGAGGCGACGGGCCGTCGGCGATTTGGCTTTCTTCTACCGCTATGTTAACGAGCTTTGCTCCTCAGAGCTCTCCTCAATGGTGTCGCCGTGCGGTGTGCCTCCCATTCTTACCGCGTCAAACCTCGTACATCCAGAACTTTCCGATACTACTGCTTCTTTGTTCCTAGGCCAAAGAGGCTTCTTCCAGTTCAAAAATCGGATTAACAAGTTGTCTGAGCTCATTATAGAAGCTGCGGTGTGTCAGTATTTGGGCTTCTGCCTATCGATTGATAGAAATATACATATTGCGACAGACCCTAATTTCAAAGGTATACAACGAACCCCATTTTTTGTGAAATACTGTACTGTCGAATATTCCGAAAAGTACTGCAACGTTATTTTATATTCTGTGTAATCCGAATAAGAGAGGCAGAACCGATTGTTAATTAAAAATTAAAATCACTCTCCTTCTTTTATCTCTTCCACCAAAAATATGGCAGCTTTTTCTGAGATACAGCAATTACGGTCCAGAATAATCCACTGCAATACTCCAAAGTGATCAAATATAACTTCTTCAAAGGTAAATCATTACACCGGATTACCCGTTGAAGCGTTATTCTGCAGTCACGTTTATGAACAGGTCAAAGCAACTGTAGTCCGTGAATCAAAAAGGGAACAAAACTTCGGATACGCAGGATGCAGTATGGACTGCTCGACTCATATAAACTGGAAATCACAAGACATATTTGCAGTTTGCACGTAATATTCCCGGATTTTATTAACTCTGCTGCGTTTGATTTTTACTGAAACGAGCTTTTTCACGATTGGCTTATACCAGTTGCAGAAGTGCTGCTGCAACACCACAGAAGTGTTGGGTTGTCTAGAGTAACAGTAATACTAGTAATGGTAATGTAGTGCTGGCGTGACAAAGATTGGCAACTATAGACATCCTTTGGGCGTTTATACATTTTCATGTTATATTGATAAATCCTTTTCGAAAAGTTAGGATGCAGTAGACAAATAATAGGATGCCAGAATAACAACATGATATACGGGTGACTTTGAAGTTGAGTCATTAATTTTCAGATAATGATTGTAGAAGGAAGATAAACCAAAATATGTGTGTAAAAATAAAAAAAAGTTACCTTGTTTTATAAAGTATCCTCCCGACAAGTATTTCAGTGCGGACCTGTATTTGATCGTGCGGTCTTGGAGCACCGGCATGCCCTCCCCTGTGAGGTCTTAAGTCACCTGATTCACGAGCCCTTTGTACTACATTAACAAAGGCACGAGGGGTTGGTTGCACTTGATTGGGAAACCGATCCGCATAAATCCGTGATGCCGCGGCAGCATTTTGTAAAGACTCCCCCCCGTAAATAAGAATCATGTCCACAAGTTCAGCATTCTCGTAAACATGTGCCATTTTTTATTTCGTTTGAGCCACGCAACAAACACCACTATTCACTCACGAGTTACCGACTGACACATTGACTGAATACAACTGAATAAAATTGTAGTAAAAACATCGTGATAAGCGTTTCAAATTCTTTCGCTTTTTTGTTTCCGATGCGATGAACCGATAAGGCGGATTATATCCGTTGTTGCCAAACTCGAGCACATAATATTATTATTGAGACAGGGCGGTACTCAAACTTCTAAAGAGCTATAACTTTGTTACTTTAATTGTACCAGAAAAATGTTAAAGGAAAAAACACATTTCTTTTGATCAGATCTACTCACTGTTAAAATAAATGACTCAACTTCGAAGTCACCCTGTATACACTAATAGAATAATATAATAGAAAACAAAAGTACGGCAATAGAAAAATGAACTATGTAAGGAAATTTTATTCTTATCAAGATTTATAGAATATACAAATGATTAGGGATGTTCGATACGATCCGATATTTAGAAGTATCGATACTTTAGCTTCCGATACCCGATATTTTGGATTGATATCTTTATATACGATACTTGGGTGTATCGATACATTTCACGAGTATCGTTATCTTTCGATCCGGAGTGTGTCAGCAAAAGTGACTACCTTCAGATTACTTTTCTTCTTTGTTCCCTTCCACCTCACGACATAATTTATATTGGATTCCAGGGTTGCCATATTAGGGGTTTTCCCCCAAAAGGGCAAATTTTGGAGATATTATTTCTGGAGATTTCTTTTGGGGAAACATATTTATTTATATGTAAAATTTCATTAATGACATTACTTGTTATATATTTATTTGACAATTTAGTTATGCAGTTGAAAAAAGTAAACATTATTTTGAGGATTGTAGAGAAAACAACTTCGATTTTCGGCAGTGTATGTTCCGTATCAGTTTCGATACTTGTGGTATCGATATTTCTATAGCATCTTATAATATCGATACTTCCTAAAGCGATACGAATCGATACGTGGTATTGAATACTTTTCGTAGATCGAACATCCCTACAAATGATGCTCATTTTTGTACTTTTGTCTCAAGGCCATCTTTATTCCTATTTAGGAGAACGAGCCATTGCACTTTCCATATTCC